ATATAGAAAGAAGATGTTTTGAAAATGATGATGGCAACATATGTACAAATGTGCCTAATTTGTTACAATTGATGCATGGATTGTGATAAGAACTGTAAGATGCCCCAACAAAATGATTTATAGATTAAAAAAAATTGTAAAAAAGAGCACTGTGCTTCCCCCGCCCACCTCCAAGGTTTTCGCCCTTTAGGTCTGGCCCCTTTCATGAACCGGCTTTGAAGTACTCTGGTCTAAATTCTCCTCAACAATGAATGCCCCCCCAACCCCTTTCAGCACATGGATGGAGCTGAACGACACTCACTTTTTTTACTTTTCTGCATTTTGAAAAGCTGTTCATTTGCTTTGGAGTTCTTGCTTATCTTTAATGAAAATATAAATACCGTATATACTCAAGTATAAACCGAGTTTTCCAGCACATTTTTTATGGAATTTTTGTGGTAAAATTAGGTGCCTCGGCGGATATTCAGGTCGGCTTATACTCGAGTATATATGGTAAGAAATAGCAACCTGAAAGTTTAATTTTCTGCTCCTTTCCATCCTGCTGTATGTTACACCTTGAGGTACCCTCCTGGTCAAGCAGGCGGGAGAAAGACTGGGCTTTCTACTCCGGCAGATGGTTACAGTCTTGGAAAGCCACGGGAGGGGCGGGTTGCAGTTGCTAAGCATCAGCATCGGCTGGATGGCAGGGACTTGGGTGTGGTTGGTGGCACTGGAGCCATTTTCCAGTGAGTTCCTTCCTGGTGCGGGTGGTCCTAAAGGGGAGTATCCATATTCCGCCAGCTACGGTCATAGTTAAGGGGCTCTGGTGGCACAGTGGTTACACATTGGGCTGCTAACTGAAAAGTCAACAGTTCAAAACCACCAGCCACACCGAGGGAGAAAGATGGGGCTTTCTAGCCCTGTAAAGAGTTACAGTCTTGAAAACTCACAGGGGCAGTTGTATTCTGTCCAACAGGGTCCCTACGAGTCAGCATCAACTCGATGGCAGTGAGGTGTTGCTGTTGAAGAGGGGCCCTTGGGGTGCTGTTTGGTTAGTGTTGGATTGCTAACCACAAGGCAGGCAGTTCAAACCCCTCAGCAGCTCTGAGGGAGAAAGACGAGGCTGGCTGCTCCTCTAATGATTGGTAATGCCTCGGAAAGCCTACACAGGGCCCTTAGGAAGCAGGGGTGACCCCATGGCAGTGGGTTTGGTTTTGGGTCATGGTCATGTGGAACTGTGCTGGGGGCCACGGCTTCACTGGCATCGTAGTCAAGTCTCTGTAATAATGACTCCATTAATAGAATTAAAACGCTCTCTTTGACAAATGAGGGCTTTTACACTTGGGGTGGAAGGCGAGATAGTTTACCAGTTACATACATGTAAAAAAAAAGTACCAGCAGTATTTAAAAAGTACATACATATCTGTCCTGTCTGCAGGTCATAGTCAAAGGCATCCACAGAGTAGGACAGGCTGTCGATGTAATAGAAGATTCTGTGATCTAGGGACCAGTCCAAACCATTAGAGATGTCCACCTGGTCGAAGAGCTGTTGCACATGGTGATCAGGAAAGAGGGAGTACAGGGACCCTTGGCGCCGCTCAACAACTGCTGGGGCTGTTTCTTCTGCCATGGTGCCTACAAAACAAAGGCCGCCACGCTCAGCCCCCCTTCATGAGACCACCTTTTCTTTCAAAGGATCCTTTCCAGATTTTAAATCAAGAAAGCTATTATACAATCTCAATCCGGGTCTTACTTTTTTTTTTAATGATGAACACCTTGAAAATTAAATTAAAATTAGCATGAGAGGTTCCGAGGTCCAGCTAAGATGGAATAAAGCCAAACCCCACAGCCTTCCTCTCTCTCGAGTTTCCTCTTTTCATTCAACCGTGGACTCTGGACCAAATGCATAGCACGGCTACGTGAAAAGCGGCAGGTCACACCACCGGACTGGTGGGGAAGTCCCCGTTTTCTCCTTTAAGATCTCCGGGCTCAACTCACTGCAGCCTTCATGCCCAGAAGAGGCTGTGTGGTGCAGATGCAGATAGAAATCCAAGAAAAATTCTCTAGAGCTGCCTCATGGGGCAGAAATGAGAATTCCTTCAGCTCAGAGGAAGTAGAGGAAATCTCCCATGTTTCCCCCCCCTACCCTCCCCGGCCCCATTTTCACAAACATCAGTGTAATTATGTATCAGGGGTAACAACTGTGGAGAGGGGAGAGCAACCGGAAGTGACAGGAGGCCAAGTTCTCTTCCTTTGGAGAGCCAAACTGCTGCTTCCACATTTTCTCCCTGGGTCCTGGCCCTGGGTAGCCAGAGGCAGCAGCACCATCATAGAAGCGGCAGTTTCTCGCTGAAGAAATGAAAAGAGGAAAAACCCGGAAACCAGGAAACTAGGGGGTTCTCAGCCGAGAGGGAGGACTCAGCAGGATGAGCCCCAGGCGGCCATTCAGAACCTCCTGGGCTCAGCCTGAATTTGCATGGGCATGGCTCTCATTTGAGTTAGTTGTTTTTCTAAAGTAGATAACCAGGCCTTTCTTCCAAAGTGCTTACCAGTGAACTCAACCCTAAGGGCTATTCATGTGCTGTTTGTATTAATTTTCTACCACCCACCCCCTGTAAATTTGAAATGGCTTTTAATTTCATCACCAATAAAACTCCTATAATTAAAGTTCACTGAACTCCCCAAAATACCATACCTATCATGCTTTGATAGAGAAAGAAGTTGAAAGAGACACCTAGGAAAAGTGAGCTCCTTTTTCCAAACTGTGCTATGTTTTAAGCGCTCTCGTGGTTTCCGCCACAGCTCAGTGAAAGATTAATCATACCAGCAAAGTATCTCCCAGCGGGATCCACCTTCCCGTCATTGAATCGATTGTTTTTCTTGTCTTTATCGGTCGTGGCCAGGACAACTGTTGACTGATCTTCCCAGTTCAAAGCACAGAACTTTGTTCCAACAGTGGCCACGTAACCCCCTGACTGGCGAAGGGCCACCGAGCTGACAGGGGCATCTGCAAAGGCAAACACAGTCATCAGAATGCAGCAGGTGGAGCAGTATTGGAGCAGCACAATCACGATGAAGTTGAATCTTTATTTTCAACAAAAACTAAAAATATAGAGAGATATATAAAAAAGAGGCAGTTGTATGTGTAAAGCCAAATTGCCCCCGTGACTGGCTCCGGGATCTCGGGCAGGCTGTGGTTTCATGTTTCCTAGCAGTGCCAAGTAGGATGTACCCGGAGACTGAGGCTAGCCAACCTGGAACAACACAGCGAGCCCAACCTCCGAGGGGAGGACCACACGGCCAGCCAGCGCCGGAACTACACAAGGGACCAGACTGCCAACCTACCTCAGATAAGCCAGTCAGTGGATTGACGGGAGGGGGGGTGGCTGGGAACGCCCCGTTATGTATACCTGTAAATAAATACTTTCGAATTTCTTTGTTCCAGGCTCTAACCCAAGACGGCGCGTGTAGTTAAGCACCTAAGGACTGGAGCCCTGGCTTAAGCTAGCATAATAAAACCTCTTCTGTGTGTAGTTAAGCACCTAAGGACTGGAGCCCTGGCTTAAGCTAGCATAATAAAACCTCTTCTGTAATTGCAGCCTTGTGTTTGATCTCTTTCCATTAAAAGGGTAATTGTTCCAGGTCCCTAACAATAGGAGTCTTACTGCCCTTCTGCAGAACGGGGAGAAACCCTGTTGCCATTGATTCCAACTGGCTATTACCGCATAGGACACAGAGTAGCCTCTCAGAGACTGTCCAAGGCAAGACTTGGTCTCCTGTACTTTGAGACGGGACTGGTCAGGACAAGTCTCTGGAGAAGGACCTTATGCTGGGTAACGTTGCGGTCAGTGAACAAGATGGATGGAAGTGTAGCTGAAACAATGGCTTCAAGCATGGCAAGGGCCTTCGAGGACGGCGCAGCCCAGGCCTGCTTGTGCACGGGTTGCTATGAGGTAGAACTGACTTGTTCACACCTAATGACAACAATAATCTTTAGTGGCAGCGTGCTTTAACCACTGCGACACTGGCATCCATCAAGCGTCACAGAACCGAGTACGTCCTTATGGAGGGCAAATTTTCCCTGAGCAACAGGAATAGAAAGGCGTCCCGAGACTATGGCCTTTACTCCCTTCGGTCTGGAAGTGCACTCAGCTCCAGGTTAGACTCATCAACTATTTCAGATGAGAAGGCCAGCGTTTAAACACCCAAGGGCAAAGTTCACAGGGTTGGGGGGGGTGTCACAGGGAGGAAGTGGGATAAGTGAGGGTACATTGAGGAGATTGCAGTGATTGAGTTGAATCAGAATGTGGATGAATTGTTGAATGTAAAACAATGATATGCTCTCTACACCTTCGCCTAATTGACAATAAAAAGTTAACACGAAACAAAAAACATGAGTAGAAAGGCAAACAATCTACCTCCTCTGAAGTTCCCAGACTGGTAGGAGAAGCAAGAACAGTAAAATATAACCGCAATACGTGGAGGCAGGAGTCCCAGGACAGTCTTGCGTTCCAAGGAGAGGGTCCTAATTCAGCAGCTTGAGCAATTCAGAGATGTATCATTTGCCTAACCTCCAGGAAATTCAGTCAGGCAAAGCGTGTTCAGTTATAACACCTAGGTTTTGTAAATATCTCTATCCCCACTTCAATGCCAAACACCAAACCTGTTAGCCTCAATTCGATTCTGACTCCTGGCAACCCTACCACGTGTGGCTCACAGACTAGAACTGCTCTCTAGGGTTTTCTTGGCTGGAATCTTTACAAAAGCCAATCTGCAGGCCTTTCTTCCCTAGAGCCCCTGGGGGAGTAGTAGAGTGCAAACTATTTGCACCCCTCAAGGACCTTCCCACCAATACGGGGCTTGCCATTTGAAGGAAGTTTTATTTTATCTGTACTTAACAGAAAATTATTTCTCAAATCCTTTTTGGAAGTAAACATAGTAAAAACACTAAGTAGATAGAAATGCAGATGTATCTTTCATTATGTCTCTATATTTTAATTCAATACGTTTAATATTTTTCCATATATAAGAAACATTTTTTAAATGAAGAGATTGATTACCTTGGGCAGCAGGTAATCAAATTTGCTTGGTCACAGGAAGCAAAATTCTCAGAATTATTTTGAAGATATTTCCTAAGCACTTATTCAGTGCAAGGTGCTGGGTGCTGGGCTTAGACATTGAATCAAGCCACTGATGGTCCCAAGGACTGTGTGGGACCCTAATATAGGAGGGCTCTACTCTCATTAAGGGTCCCAACCTGTGGCCTGGGACCTGCTCCTCTAGACAACTTTCCAAACGACTGCTGACTCCACAAGCCCCTTCCATATCTGGGGGAAACGAGAGCAGTGGTTGTTCACTGAGAGAATTTTCATCTTCCGCAAAACCCTCATCTCTGCAGGAGACCCCCGAGTGGATTTGTAGCTAGTGCACCTCATGAGCACCACCTGGCTGTCAGTGGGGTCTCACAGGTTCCTACGCTGCTGAACAGGTTTCAACTGAGCTTCCAGAGTAAAAGAGCTATGGATGGAAGGCCTAGAGATCGACTTATAAAAAGAAAAGGAGAGCAACTAGTGAGAACCCTGCGGGTCAATAGGACTCAGCCATAAAGAGAAATCCTCTTCTAATGCATGCCCCAGTAGGAACCTTGAAAACATGTTGAGCGAAACAAGTCAGTGGCAAAAGGACAAACCCTGTATGATCTTACTGATATGAAATAAGCAAATATATAAACTCATGTCAACTCATAGCAACCCTGTAGGACAGAGTAGAACTGTCCTGATGGGTTTCCAAGACTTTCACTTTTTTTGTTAAGACTAAATCTTTTCGGGAGTCGAAAGTCTCATTTTTCTCCCAAGGAACGGCTGGTGGTTTTGAATTGCTGAGCTCACCAGGGCACACAGAAGAAATTTTACTTAGGAGCCACGGTGGAATGATTTGATATAGGATAGGGAGACTCCGTGTAAAACTTTAAAGAATGTAAGCAATGTCCCTGAATTGCATATGCAAAAATGGACTCAGCACGTGTTCTGTTGTGTGCACGATTTTCACACACAAAAGGCCCTATAAATTAGAAAGCTCTCATCAGCAATCAGTCACAGGGATGGTGCAGAACTAGGCAGCTTTTTGTTTCCTTGGGCAGGGATCACTGAGTCAGGGGCAGCAGCAGCTACAGAGCCCCTACAGAGGTAGGGGTGTGTGAGTGCTGGGCTAGACTAGGGAAGGCAATGTGCTCATCCTGACTCTGAGCTCAAAGGTCAGTCACTTTGTCTCCCAATTACAGAAGTGAGAAGGAAGGAAGGAAGGAAGGAAGGAAGGAAGGAAGGAAGGAAGGAAGGAAGGAAAGTATATGGTCTCCAGTTCTCAAGGTTTATGGGCATTCTTGCTATCCTTTCCCAGGACTACCATAATGAAATTACTTTCCTACTTTCCTCAGCACTGATCACAGCAAACTAGTGCCCCTGGGCCATAGGATCTGCGAACACCCCCATGTGGGAAAGCATATGGCCATTAATGGAATCACACTCAAGTGTGCTTGGATTTTGGTCATGAATCCTTTTTGTACACTCAGCAGATACTCTGGTTGATGCTTTATAAGTCCAGGGCCTCTTCTTTTACATTGAAAAGAAAGATTTACCAAGTCATTCCCCTCCCCTGGAAAGTTAAAGCCTTAGGACTATGGCTGGGCCACCAACCGGTTCTGCAACTTGCAATGATGTTATCTGAAGTTAAGGAAAATGATACCACAGGGCCTTGTCATCTAAAAAGAGTTCCTTTGGGAACTCTGCTCCTCATCCATAGTGGAAGAAGGAAGTCATGATGACTCTGAGTTTACTCCTAGATCAAACTGGGAGCACAGGGAGAACACCGCCCCACCTCATTTAAAGCATATAAACTATCCTTTGACAAGATCCCAGAGGGAATGGCAAACATTGGGTGACTGTCCCCCTACAGCAGCGGTTCTCAACCTGTGTGTCTGGACCCCTTTGGGGGTCGAACGACCCTTTTACAGGGGTCGCCCGATTCAAAACAGTAGCAAACTTGCAGTGATGAAATAGCAATGACAATCATGTTCTGGTTGGGGGGCCACCACCACATGAGGAACCGTATGAAAGGGTCGCGGCATTAGGAAGGGAAAGAACCCCTGCCCTAGAGGGGAGGGCGAGGGGAGGTCTGTGAAGATCGGAGGACAATTCATCCTTACCCACGGTCACTTGCTGCACTTGTTTGGTAAGCGAATCCCACCGGCAAACCTTTTGTGCAGGAATGTCTACGAAGAGCAGAGAGCTGGATGTTTCTTCCCACACTGGAGACTCACCACAGCAGCAGTTCATTGGCAAAACGCATTCAATTTTAATGGACGACATTGCCAGAGTAGAAACCTACCGACGAGAACAGAGATAAAATAAAGGGCAATCAAATGGAGTCAATAAAGTAAGACACCGGGCCTAACCCCCCCCCCCACCAAGGTCCCAACACAAATGCTCTCATTAGTACCGGAAAGGTAGATTTTGCAAAAGCAGAACAAAATAAACTATGCAATGTGCTGAGAGAGACATATCACGGGGTTCCAAAAAGTTGGTGGAACAAGAGACTGAAAGGATAACGGAATATTTTCCCCCCATGCACTTTTGGAAGTCCCCAAATACATGAACAAGAGCAATGAACTGAAATAAGATAGATGCGACATCCTTAGTCCATTTACCAATTTCTCTAGCGACCTTTACAAGTGGAGATGGGTGGTGTGACCACCCGCACCTTGGCTTAGCAGACTCTCAGGAGAGTGGGTGGTTCAGGCAGTGAAGAGCTGCCCTTTATGTCTGTACCTCAGCCCCAAGGCGGGCCTCGGGACTGGCGGCTCCCTCATTGGTGGCCCTTCTGGGCGTCTGCGGATCACCTTGTCTTGCCGCCCTGCCCATCTCTTGATGCCGTTGATTGCCTTTTCTGACCACTGGTGCCTTCCTGGTCATCGTAAACCCAGAACTGCTTTGTTCATGTTGCAAACCAGCTTGTTTACAGGGCAAACACACCGAGAATTATAAGTCAACATTCATTTGCCAATGCAGACAATGCAAAAGGTTAGAGGATGGGTCATCGTTTGGGCACCACTGGAGGAACTGACAGCCCCTTAATAATTTCTTGCTGCCCAGGCAGGCACTAGTTGAGTCCTGGTGGCTGGTGGAGTATACCCGGGCAGCTAACTGCCAAGTCAGCAGTTCGAATCTACTAGCCATTCTGCAGGGGAAAGATGAGGCCGTGGGCCGGAATGGAATCAATGGTCGTGAGTTTTGTTTTTTGAGGCAGACACAGTGGACAGGAACAGAGAACCAGGAGAGAAAAGGAGGGAAAAGCAAAGCAAAAGCTATTAGCAAAGATTAGGAAACAATACTTAACAACGTGGGAGAGGAAAAGGGCACAACAGGCAACTTTCAAAACCGCCTTGGGAAGGTTAAGGCTCAAAGTTGCCTTCAGCTTCATCCTTCTTCCAGGGGCAGCTAGCTCTTTAGAAACAAATGGTCTCACACATGTGTGAATGAAGGAGAGAAAAAAGGAAAATATTTGGTTTGATAATTTCCAACTGAAAAAGGAAACATATACTCACACAGCTCAAATCATCCTCAAATGCTGGGGCCATGCACTGGCTGTTAAACACCCCCACCCCCACCCCGCCCGGCATGAAAGGCTTTCTGAAAATCAATCAGTGAGAGTCCAAGGACAGCCGCCTGACTTTGGCAATAGCGATTTTTAACCCTGTGATCAGGGGTGTGCTGGCAAATGTTTCTGTGGGAAAGATTTCCCGGCTGTGGAAAGGCGGGGCGGGGGTGGGGTGTCTGGGGCGCGCTCCCCACGTCACGGTCGGGTACCTGTGCAGGTGAGGGGCCTCACCACAATCCTGGGCCCGCCGGGTGGGCGGAGAGCTGGCCGTGTTCCTGACACAAGGCCTAGCGGGTCTGGCTTCTCTGCGGCGGCGGGGCCTGTCTTCTCCGGGGCCGCGGCGGGGAGGCCGGTCCGACCAAGGCACTTCACGGGCTGGAGGAGATTTCTAGGAAGGCTCCCCAGGTCAGGTCAGGAGGAGGAGAAACCTTGGCCAGAGGGGGCCGCAGGGGGGTAGGGTGGGGGAGAGGCCGTGCCCCCTCCCCCGCCTCCCTCCTCCCAGGTCCTCCCACAAGGCTGCAGTCCTCTCACGTGGCTGGAAGAAACTGGAAAAGCTAACCAGGAGGTAGAGCTCTGGGGCCTAAGTGACTCAGAGCACTCTGGAGTTTGGACAGATATGGAAAGTTGATATCCTACTTAACAAAACAGAAAGAAAGCAAAGAAAGTTGTTCAAATGCCCAACTGTGAAATGTCTTGGTCTGGTTGATCAGCCCTTGCTTTAATCTGGAAGACTGTGCTGGCTGGGGGAGGGGGAAGGGCTGGCTGGGTTGTGATTTGATTGGAAAATCACGTGGAATAAATGATTCCAAGCTGCACACAGCAGCATAGTCTGGTCATACCACTTTTTTTCAAACTAACTCCGATACATTTAAGACTTAAAATGTTTTTGAAGAGTGGGAGATCAATGGACTGGTGGTTGCTCCTGGGGGGATGGTGACAAGGATTAACTAGGAAAGGGAGTAAGGGAATTTTCTGGGGTGAGAGAACTGTACCTGACCTAGATCCCAGGTTCCCAAACTTGGCTGATCATTGGAATCCTCTGGGGATCTGGTGCAACTACAGATTTTGTTCCATTTGCAACAAAATCAATCAGGATCTCTAGGGCAGTGGTTCTCCACCTTACTAATGGCGTGACCCTTTCATACAGTTCCTCATGTTGTGGTGACCCCCCTCTCCCCCAACCATAACATTATTTTCGTTGCTACTTCATCACTGCAATTTTGCTACTGTTCTGAATCGGGCCACCTCTGTGAAAGGGTCATTCGATCCCCAAAGGGGTCCTGACCCACAGGTTGAGAACTGCTGCCCTAGGAGGAGAAGCCCCGGGACCTGTAGGTGTACCAGGTCCTGAGGTGAGTGAATCCCAGATCAGCGAAGTTCGGGAACTCAAAAGTAAATGGAGCTTTGCATTTCACAGGTATATGATGTCCTATCAAAAAGAATGCGATGATCAACTGGAGTTCGGTGCATTTCATGGTATGTATTCCCTCCAGAGTCCTAGGAGACAGTGGCTGGTCACTTGGCTGCTGACTGAAAGGTTGGAGATTTAAAGACACCCGCTGTTCTGTAGAAGGCCTGGCTTTCTGTGTGGGTCAGCTCTACTCTGATAGCACACAACAAGGAATAACACTGAACCCCAAGTCTGTGTTTACCTCTTTCTCTCTCTCAATCTCCCGTCCCACTCCTTGCCATATGGATGATCATAAGACCCTTTAATCAAAAAATGCTACATGGACTGATAACTGACCTGTTGGCGATTCAAACCCACCAGTCGCTCTGTGGGAGAAAGATGAGGCTGTCTGTTCCTGTAAAAATGGAAAAGTCTGGGAAACCCCAAGGGACCGTTCTACCCAGTCAAATTGTGTTTCTGTGCCTCCGAATCCACTCCATGGCAGTGAGATGGGGTTGGCAGTGGATTTTGGTTGGGTTTTATAGGGTTTTCATGGCTGTAACCTTTATGGGAAAAGATTGCGAGACTTTTCTTCCACAGAACTCCTGGATGGGTTGGTACCCTCAACCTTGTGGTCACCAGCCTATCACAGACTGGGTGTACCATCAAGGACCTTCTCAACTCACAGCAACCCTGTAGGACAGAGGAGAGCTGCCCTGGTGGCTTTCCAAGGTTGTACATCCTAACCGGAGTAGAAAGCCTCATCTTTCCTCCTGCGGAGCTGCTGGTGGTTATGAACGGTTGACCTTGTGGTGGGCAGCTCAACTCTTAGCCATTCTGCTATTCCAGTCCATTAACTTCACTAGCACGGATAATACGGAAGGAAGAAGGCTGCAGCCATGGGCTGAGGCACAGGGACCACTGTGAGGATGGTGCCGGACCGGGAAGGGTTTGTTTCTGCTGTGTATAAATAAGGTCGCTACGGGTCAGAACCAACTCGATGGCACCTAACAGCAGCAGCAGCAATAACCACAAGGAAGATTGACTGCAAACCACTATCCAGAGGCAAAAGAAAGTTGGAGGCAAGCAGAAATTGGTTGGAACAACAGTAACTTAGAATTAGCGTTTACAGCCTCTGAGTTTCCCTTCCCGCCTGTGCGGTACTGAAGGAACCGAAACCGAACTGACAGCCAGGGATCCAGACCGAGCGAACCCCAGAGACCCCAGAGGACCGGCTCCAATTGGCCCCGTGCGTTTCTGAAACTGGAACCCTTTAGAAGGAGTAGAAAGCCTTGTCTTTCTTCCTTGAAGAGGCTGCAGGTTTCAAACAACCACTATGCCACCAGGGCACAGGGGCAAAAACCAGGGCAATAAGTCAAAATTGACTCGGGCCAGGGGTCTTTTGCAGGTATGTCCTGGACCTCTTATGACAAGAGAAATGCCCTTTATGCAAAGAGACTGGGTCCTGAGCAGGCGGCTGTGGCTCTGGGGCTTTGGAGCATGCTCCCCTAAGCCCCGGGGGCTCCCCGGGGCGGCCCAGCCCTGACTACCCGCGGGCCTTCCTCGCAGCCCTGGAGGACGGTGTCTCTGACACCCCCCACCCCACTCCAGGGGCGCGCCTGGAGCTGGAGCACAGGAGCTGCGGGGAGAGCAGGGAGCCGAACGCGAAGAGGGCGATGCGGAGGAAGAAGTTCAACGTGGGCCCCGAGACAGGATGGCATGCTTGCTCCCGAACACACCCGAGGCACTCGGCCGCTTCCCGTGCCAGGGGGAGGGCACTCCCGGGGCAAAGGCAAGAGCTGCCCTGGCAGTGCCCCACGCCCGGCTGCCCGACCTCCACGCGCTCCAGGTGCCCGGCGACTTCTCCGGAGAGGCCCAGCAACCCGACTGCGGACCCCGGGCCAAACCCACCGGGCCTAGAGGGTGGCCATCGGTGAGGGCGGGGACCTGCCCGAGGAGCCCCTGGGGACCTCTATGACCGCTCAAAGGGTGCCCTTCAAGACTCCCAAGGCCTCCCTCCCACCCCTTCTATCACCTCCTCCAGCTGGGAGGGGCCGGGTGACTATGGCCCAGCAGAGTTGGTTCATCCTAAGTAACAACTGCCTCTACTACTTAGAGTGCACGACAGACCAGGGACCCCACGGAGTCAATCCCCTGGAGAAGCGAGAGGTGGACGACCCCCAGCAACCCAACCGTGTGGAGTTGTATATCCCCAACGAGGGGCCACTCGGCCAAGCCGAGGCTGACGGCGCGTAGGGGAGGACAACCCCAAGATCCCCCGGATCTCAGCTCCCACGCAAGAGGACAGTCCGAATGGACCAAGTCCACCCAGGCAGCTGTGTGCCGCGTCGACCCTTCTACGAGATGTCGGCGACCCAGAAGAAGCACATCTCCGGCAAGAAGCAGCAGGAGAAGCCTGGACCTGAGGCCCTACTCCATTATTTATTTTGGAGCTGCCCAGTCTGGGTGGCTGGAACCCTGGGCCCTGGGGCTGCGGATCCTGGTTTCCCAATTTGGAAAATTCACCACCTCTAGCTCCCCCCTCATTCTTTGTAATGAACGCACTGTTGGTCATCTTATTTAACCACTCGCAAAAAAAACCGAAAAAACAAAGATCGCACTACTGAGCATATCTGGGTTCATGGACTGTTACAATGAGAGCAGACTCCTTGTAGTCACGATGAAATATTTCAGCAGTGTTAGAACCTTTAGGATTTGGCCTTGGCTGAGGGGGCTTCAAAAACGTCATGGGAAAACGGAATTAAAAGGTGATGGAGTTTTCCAATGAACTCTTTGAAGCTCTCTCATATTAGGATCAAGAACTGAAGGCTGTCAAGGAGCAAGGGGTAATTGATGACTGGGTATCTTAATTCCTATATAGAATGTGAGAAGAATGGAGTGACGGATAAAGCAGCAGCATTCACTCATTATAAGCCAGGACAGGGTGCTATTTGGTCATTTTTGTGATATGGATAATACTTATGATTAGTCTTGATATGTGTTCACCACACTGAGTGGCTATATCTCATGCTGGTGTTCTATGCAATTGTGTATGTTCAAGAGAACACCAAGGCCTACCTAGCTATGGGTGCCACGTCGGGTACTGTGTCTCCTTCTTAGTCTCACATTTTGTCCAAGGGAAAAGCTGTATCACAAGACATTGATCGATGATATTCTGATCTTTACCACTGCCAAGATTTTGCTGATTTGGAGGTGGCCCTGAAACAATGGTCCAGAGTAGGACCAGGGTTATTCTCTCCTGGCTCTTTTGTCAGAATGGGTTGTTGAATCCTCTGATGGGGCCAGGGCTACACAGTAGCATTTAAGATTCTGGACAAAATACATTGGCCAACTCCAACAGAGGAAATGAGCAGAAACAAGGTTATTATTAGCCCTTGTGCTAGGGAGCCCTAGTGATGTAGTGGTTGGTTATACATTGGGCTGCTAACCTCAAGGTGAGCAATTCAAAACCAGCAGATGCTCTGTAAGAGACAGATAAAACTTTCTATATCCATAGTTACAATTCTCCGAAACTCACAGGGGCAGTGCTATCCTGCCCTCTTAGGGTCGCTACGAGTCAGAATCAACTTGATGGCAGTGAGATTTTTTGTTTTAGTTTTTTAATAGATCTGAAGACAGGGGCCTAAGTTATCAACCTCAGGCAATGGAACACATCCCAACGTCTCTGGTCTGTTTCAGAGATCCAGGCGGCTTTTTCCTTTAGCCTCATCGAAGACGTCTCCTTGACCTGTCCTTTCTCTATAGGTGCAACAAGAAGTGTTTGCTAAGGTATAAGCTCCTCTTTGGCTACTAAAAGGAAATCAAGTTATGTGATTACTAATGACAACGTTGGCTAATGAATCTAAATTTCAACCTATTTGCCGGGCTTCTAGAACAGATGTTGAGCCATTTAGAGTCTGCCAGGACAAAGAAAATCTCTGGGTCGTACACAATTATGTGCTCAGCTACTAACCAAAACACTGATGGTTTGAATCTCCCCAGAGGCACCTTAGAAGAAAGGCCTGGAAATGTATGAGTACTG